GCAGGCTGCTGGGAGGAGTGGCCATCGCTCGGGGAGGAGTTCTGTCCAGCATTCGTGTGGTCCTGCAGCCCAGAGGAACCAAGAGGCCAGCCGAGTCTGGGTGGACGGATCAGCCGGCATCTGCGGTTTTTTGGATCCGCTGTGGGACGGACGTTTACAAGAGATCCTTCCTGCCCACAGCCATCAGCATCTATAACAACTCTTAATGAAACAAGGATGATGAGTTACAACAACATTTAATTTCCCTTTGGGATTAATAAAGTATTTTTGAATTGAATTGAATAATGTGTCATTTGTTGCTAGGGACATTTAACATGCAAACACCGGTCTAACTCTTAAAGCTAACAGAGCTAAGCTGAGGAAACTAAAAAGAGACAAGCAGTAGGATAGCAGAAAGCCGTGGTGGAAAAAATCAGATTAAAAAGGCTTCCTTGGATTCAATTAATCCTAAAGGGAAATTAAGTGTTGTTGTAGTAGCTCATCATCCTGGTTTCATTCAAGAGTTGTTATAGATGCCGATAGCTGTAGGTAGGAAGAATCTCCTGCAGTGAATCCAAAGAATCTGGCCACAGATACTGATCCGTCCACCCGGATCCAGCTTGCTGTCAGATCCAGTGGGCCTCTCGGTCCTCCTGGGCAGCAGGACAGTCTGAATGCTGGGCAGAATGTCTCCCCGAGCGATGGTCACTCCTCCCAGCAGTCTGCTGAGCTCCTCGTTGCCACAGACAGACAGCTGAAGGTGCTGGGGGATGATCTCAGTCCTCTACAAACCTAGTTTCTCACCAGCTCCAGGATCTCGGCGGTCAGGCACTCGAGCACCACTGCCATGTTGACAGGAATTCATCCACGGCACCACCTTTTCAACTCATTTGGGATTTGGGGCTGTAGTTGAGTTAGTTGAGCTTTTGAGATGTTGATCAGCTGCTGTTGGTTGTTAAAAACATCTTGCTGCCATGGTTACACATCATAACAAATGCTCAAAAGTAAAAAGGTTTCAGTAAAAAATCCTTCCAGCTGCACAGCATCCAATACCAGAGTAAATAAGCATCCAATAAAAAGCGATTTACATCCATACAAAAAAGGAACTAAAGTTTTCAAAAGCAATAACTCAGAGTGAATGTAACAACTACTCCAACACGCAGCCACCCCGAGCGGCACAATTCAAGAATCTGTTCAGTTGGATCAGTAGTTTCTGCTTGTGATCAAATCTGTGGATGCTGATGGACCACACTGTGCTCTTCTTGTATGTCTTCGGTTTGTTCAATGACCTCTGGAACAAACAACTCAAACAATGAACAACACAATGCATCCAACACCAACAAGGCAACCAGAAAACAAACGCATTCAAGCTGGCGCTGTGCCATGAGACGGTGGCATTCACAAGAGAGGCTCCAGGGTCCACCTGTCTGTCTGGATCTTTACATCTGTCATCTTTTCTGGTCTGCTCAGAATCTAAACCAATATTATTATTAATAAAAACACTATTTGTATAACACTTTTTAAAACAAATGTTACAAAGTGCTTGACATTAATCAATTAAAACATCATAATTGACACCAGAAGCACAAAAAGTATACCAGATCAATTAAAATACATAAGGCAAAACGAAAATAAAAATATGAAGAAATTCTAATATTAAAAGCCTAATAGATGTTTCAACTAATGATTTTAAAGAAGACAATGAAGAGGCCTGTCTAATATTAAGAGGAAGAGTATTCCACAAATTTGGAGCCCTGACCATAACCTCCCTTCTTCTGTCACCAGTCGAGCTCTGGGAGTGGAAAGTAATAACAGATTTAAGGATCTGAGATTGCAAGAAGGGATATAAGGGGTAAGAAGCTCAGATAGATATGATGGCGCAAGGCCATTCAAGGATTTAAAAACAAAATAAAAATTTGAAGTCAATTCTAAAAACCACAGAGAGCCAGTGCAATGAGGACAGAACAGGAGTGATGTTATGGGATCTTGTAAGCACTCTAGCTGCAGTGGTTTGTACTAGTTGAAGACGATTAAGAAAACTTAGGGGCAGACCAGAAAACAAAGAATTACAATAATCACAATGACAGGAGACAAAGGCATAAATAAGAGTTTCTGCATTGATTAAAGAAAATAAATGCTCTGATTTTGGCAATATTCCTAATTTAAAAAAAAGAAGCCGTTTTTGTGATGTGCTTAAAATGTTTAGAAAACTAAGATCAGAATCAAAGATCACCCCCAAATTTCGGGCTTCACGAGTGCAGTTAAAACCAAGAACAGAAAGGGACTGAACTACTAAATCCCTTTTGGCCTTGGGTCCAAACACCATCACCTCAGTTTTTATCATTGTTGAGTGAAAGATAATTATCAGACATCCATGTTTTGATGTCTGCAAGACAGAGGGTAAGTTTATTGAGAGTAGAGGTCTGATGGATTAATAGCCAAATAAATCTGGGATGGTATGCATGGAAACGAAAAGAGACGTTGAATTTATGAATAAATTGACCAAGTGGTAGCATGTAAATTGAAAATAATAGTGACCCAAGAATAGACCCTTGAGGAACACCACAGGTGAGAGAAGCTGAACTGGAGGGATTATTGCCAGAAAATACAGAAAAAGTTCTGTCATGAAGATTTGAATGACCTCAGAGCAATATCTCTAACACCTAATCTTCATCTACGTCACGTTCACAGCTTTCAGCTCGTCCAAGAGTCTGACCCGTCCGTGGGCCACCATCCTCAGATGAAACTAGAAAACAGGGAAGCTGCTGCAGGAAGCATCAATTTTATTTTAAGGACACATGGGATGAAAGTACCACCATTTATTTCATGAAAGTAAAAAAAATGATGCTACACTGTCCCATGTGTACTTGCAGGGTGTCCCCTGTCAAAGTTTTGGACTAAAGCCAAGTTGCCCCCACAGGACTGCTCTCACTGCAGCTGAGTGTTGAAACAAAAAAGAGGCTGGATCTGTGCCATGTCTTCATGAAGAGAGCAAGAAGACTTCATGCAACACACACGCACGCACGCACGCACACACACACACACACACACCAGGTGCTCCTTTGAAGCACAAATAAAACCAAAGACAATAAAAAAATAAAAAATCTGTTTTAGTGTTCTTGTTCTTTGCTTTGTCAGAGATTTTAAAGGTTATTAGAGATGTATGGGCTCAAATTCCAGCCATAAATATTTTGCACGAAAAAAAAAAAATTTGTGACCATGTATAAAAAAAAATGTATAGGTATAAAAAGAATTGTATGTGTAAAACAATTATGCAACCTTGTAAAAAGTTGTACGTGCAAAAAAAATCGCAACCTTGTAAAAAAAAAAAAAAAAAAAAGATTACAGATGTAAAAACAAACAAACCTCAAGTTCAAAAAACGTTCAATACAAAAACAACTGGACTTTATTTGTAACTTTATTTGTAATTTATTTGTAAGTCCTGGATGACTGAGAATGTCCAGTTGTTTTTGTATTGAACGTTTTTTGAATTAATCATGTCCTGATGACTGAGAATCTTCACCAGCATTAACCTCAAGTACAAAACTTTTTTACAACGTTCTGTGTACAGATACAAATCCAAATACTACGTGTACGAATTTTGTCCTGGATTTTCCTCCTCTCAGCCGATTGCTCAACGTCATGTCAATCACAAATGAAGGATCCGATCAGAACAGAAGGGTTTGGCGGCTCGTTGAGCGGACTGGTTGTCAGAGCGTCCACCATATTGAACGTGGCAGATCTGCAGGTGAACCAACAAGGAAATGGACTGAACTTGAAAAAACACTGTTCTACAAAGTGAAGTTAATCCCCGTCATTCACACACCAATATATTTGGAAAACAAACAGGCTCCAAAGACATTTGTAACTTTTAATGTGGTTATTAAACATGTTTAGTCCTTAAATGTTTAGGTTTAAAGGTAAACACTAAAACATTTGTTAGTTTGAGTGTTTACAACTACTGATGTGTGTAACACCATTACTGTGATGATAAATATAGAAATATTCATATTTAACATTTAATCTGTGTCTATAATAACCAGATCCTGAAATGTAGATGTGACGTGTGGATTTTCTGAATAAAGAGAACAGTCACATTTAAGAGATTTTGATTAATACACACATGCAGAATATTTATGGATAGAATTTGAGCCCAAAGAGATTTTTAAAAAGGGTGACATGTTATTAATATAGAAGTGTTGGGTTCTGTTCTGACTGGATTAGAATCGTTTGGACTTGAAGTTCTGCGCTAACATTTGTTGAGGATCAACATCACTCGCTGCCTTGAACAAAAACCTTTAAACACAGCACTCGTTTTATCGATTAGTCCTCAAACTGTACGCTGGAGACAACGCTCAGCTACTACCATGCCAAACTTGTAGCTTGATCTCTGTAAAAGTTGCACAGTTGGAGCCATTTTAGTAGATTTTGTTTTTGAAGTCTTTTGTTTTAAACAGTTGCTGAGAATCACACAATGAAAAACAAAATTGTATATTTGTTCTTTTATTTCCTTCCAAAACAGGAAATATTACACATTCCTTTGAGAACTTATTCATCCATTCAGCTGCTGGTTTTAAATTAAATATTTACAAAACAGAACAGAAACACACACAAGTGGAAATCAGAAATATTCACATTATTAGTTTGGAATAAAGCACATTTTCTTTGGAACAGTCTTTCTGCTCCCCCGAGGCAAATCAAACTCTGATTTCATGTCAGAACTGAAGATTTGCTGCGTCCGAGCCGCGGCTTCAGGCAGCACAAACCACAACTGGCCGTCGTCAGCAAGTCGTAAACAGGAGCGAATTCCTCCAACTTAAAATGGCGAACAGGAGCTGCGAGCGTCTGATTCTTTCACATTTGTCTCCTTCAGTCATCATTTGTCTGCAGGGATTCTGGATCACATAAGATCAGAGCTGACGGAGTAAATCAGACGCGCTTCGGTCTGAAAAAGGGCGAACATAATTGAAGTAGGTTTATTTTCTGAGACTGAGCAGGGTTTTTTTTTAACTTCTCGTGTTTCATGCGGTCACTTCCTGCAGCTTCGTCCGTTTCTCCCTTCCTCTGTCTCTCCGGTCCTCTCGGTCGTTCATGTGGCTCGACGAGGAGCGCACGCTGTCGCTGCTGGACCTCCGCCTCTCCTCCAGTTTACGAGCCTTCTCTTCCTTCTGCCTTCCTCCTCCTCCGCTGCCATCCCCAAACTCTGGAGTTTCTCTCCCCCCTCTCGGAGTCTTCTCGGACCTCTGCTCTCCTCTATGTGCCTTGCTCTCATTTCTACTTCTGTTTGGCATCGACCCCCCACCAGGGAAGCCTTTCTGGAAGTTTTCAATGGGTTCAAAGAGGAGCAGGTCTTGGTCCTCACAGTGATTATAGTATGGTGAAGGTGGGGAGTGCTCAGGTCTGCTCTTCTCTCTGTAGTTTGATGGAGGCTGGTGATGGTGGTGCGAATAGTAACTGTTCTTTTTGCCCATGTTGGTTTTGAAACAGTACTGGTCTGATGAGTACATGCATCTGCTGCTCAAAGGTTTCCAGCTCATGATGCTGCCGCCCTGCAGCCGCTCTCTCCTCTCTGTGCTGTGCAGCACTGAGGAAGAGGAGGGCTGGTATCTCTTTTGCACTGACGGCTCGTCTCTCCTCCACTCGTCCTCTCTTCCTCCTTGCTTCAGTCTTTTCCTCTCTTTTTGATTCTCGCTCTCTCGTGTTCTCTCCCGGTCACTGGGCCTCGTCTCCTCGTCCCTCTTTGCGCCACCAGAGGGATCCACACCCAAGTTGGACAAAGCTGAGTGAGTCTCTTTCTCCTGGTCTCTGCCTCTTGTCCCTCTGTCCCCGTCTCTCCTTCGCTCTGTGGATCTTTGTCTCTGTTCACTGCTCTGCGTCGTTTCACAGCCGCTCACAGTCACAGACGGCTGTGGGAGAGCTGCCGAGTTCAAGATCTCCATCTGGCTTTGCTTCTTTCCACTGTTCTCCCATCTGCAGCGAGACACCTGAGGAAAAGGAAATGTGTCTCAAACAGGAAGTACTTTTTTCTGCAAAATATCCTCCAAAGTCAGCAGTAAACTTAGAAACTTTTCATGGGTATTTCAAGAACAAAGTATATTTTAGTGTAATTTGGAGCAAAACAACCAGATTTCACAAAAGTACACCGAGTATATTTATGCTATTCCACATTCAAATGAACACTGCTTACTGCAGGTGTTTAGGCCACGCCTCCTACGTGCACCAAGTGTTCACGTGCACAGCTGATTTCCAACTCTGGACGCTTGAAGCTTCATCTTTAAGCCGGTGGAGCTCTGATGATATGATTTCAAATCAAATGATTGTTTCTGCCCACTGTCACAGACACGTTTTATTTATTTATTAGGCCCGAGCAGCTAAGCGCTGCGAAGGCCTATTGTAATTGTGCTGTTTCTTATTATTATTATTTTTTTCCGCCCAAGATCGCATTTTTGGAGGCCTTAACATATCCCAAAACTCACCATATTTGACCCAAAATTGTCCCCCGCGAGAAATGCGAGGTATTTAATGGAACCAAAAGTGGGCGTGGCCAAACTGCTCCACAGCGCCCCCTAACGTGAGATATGA